GCTAATATACTTGGGCCATGGAACATGTTAGGCTAAAATCTGCCACAGTATGGTAACTACTGATGTAAATATTTCTAGTTGAAATTCACATTATAATGCTGTACTACAGTTATAAACATAATAAAACTATTTTTACTTTTTGATTTCATATAAAAAGCAATATTCAAGGGACACAATTTGAAAAAGTTCCATCAAGTAACATGCACAAGTAACATGCAACATAAACAAATCTTTTGTTCTTGATTTTTAGAGCTACAGGTGTGTTCATGCCAATCATTATTTCTCATAGTAGTATTAACTAACAAGATTTAGGATAACATACAATCTATATTTCTAATTAAAATTCATTATCATTGTGGTGTTAAATAACATCATTATTTAGTATAACATGCAAACTTTATTTTTCAATATAATTTCATTATACATTATTTTTTGCACTGTTAAGCAACAAAACATTTAAGATGCCATAAAATCTTTATTTCTCATAACAGAATATGCAATTTTTGTTTTCATTCGTATGAGTCATTAGAATGAAATTGTCATTTTTATAAGGATTCATGCTAATACTTTATATTATTTCATTCTTTTTGATTTGATAATAAAAGTAAGCAAAATAACATTTGAAATAACATCAGCTTTATTTTATACTCATAGTAATCATTATGATGGGCTCAACTGCCATTGGCAATGGAGGCTAACCTATATTTTTAGTCATCTTATATCAGATAAAATGACAAGAATTTACCTAGATTTTGGGTCTCGTCTTATCTGTAGGTTGCCTTATACATGGAAATATATGGTATGAAAATCTACAAGATATTTTATTTTTATATTGTACACTTTTTCAACTAATATCTACATCCTTATTGTTGGATTTTATAATGGCATTTTTAACTAATATAATTATATTACCTTCAAGATTAATTATGGAAATCCATGATAAAGGAGATTTAATTATTTAAAACTTTTTTTCTCATCTTGATATTTATAGATGTTATTATACAATGTTTCATCCAAGTACACTCTGGCCATCATCAGGTATCCATTGCTTTGGGTGATATGAAATATCTGTTGACTGTGTTATTTTGTCCCTGTGATACCAGTTATTGTCTGTTCTTTCTGAATTATTTTCACTACCTGTTCAGGTATTGAACTCATATCCATCAGATGAGAGTGAAGTTAAAATTAAATCATTGTTTTTTGAAAGAATTTAAGATTCTGGACAAAAACAATTCTAATAATGCTGAATTGATTTCAAAGAGTTTTAAATAATAATAATTCTATGCTATAGGAGCCTGCTATGTCATGCAGCTGTTTTAAAACTACTTTGACTGCCAAAGCTGCCACCAAACCTTTAAACAAATCTAGCTTATAAGGATAAGGGAGGTAATTTATATTTCCTTAAATAAAAAAGATAGAGTCTATACAATGTTGCAATAAGAAACCTGTCCAAGGTCTTTATTAGATGGAATTAGATAGCTTTCAAACATTTGCTGTCTGTGCCAAAATTGAAAGTAATTTGGCAACTTCTTGTTTTATAGATATTGAGCCAATGTTAGTGGTTGAAAGTTGTTTCCAACATGTAGTAGTAAAGAGAATGTCAGTTAATAATAGAACCAAGAAGAAAATTTTGTCTTGGCAGCTTAAAACGAAAAAGCTTGAAAAAAAATGCGTACTTGCTTGATACAAGATCTGAAGAAAAAAGGATGTCGATATTTGGTCACTCTCAATACTAAGCAGAAAACTTGGTCAATTGAATTTTTTCAAATAAATGCATCACAAATTTAACCCGACAACTTGTATCTAGTTTTATTTTCCAATACAGAAAGAGATGACAAATTTGCAAGAGATTTTGAGCTTTAAAATATTTTTTTGAATTTTATACTGATGTGTTTAACATCAACCAAGAAGGATTTTCTCAATGTTTTTTTTTTTTGCTTAAATAATGCTCCTGTTATTTGACTTAGTATAACATTTTTATGAATCTATACACGGTTATAGATTAATATCTTTTGAATGTTATCAAGTTTCTCTTGAATACAGAGATTTGACACCAGAAAAGGAAAGAACAACAAAAAGGAAATTTCATTCACCATATTTCACTCATTGCAGACAATAGAAAACACAAAGAAAGTCTTTCAGCTCTAAAAGCTTAAAGTTTATTCCTCCCAAACATGATTTTCGTGTGCTTGACATATCTGAACATGAACTTTTTTTTTAATAACAAAGAGATGAATTAGATAAACTAACAAGTTTTACGTTCTAAACTTTAACATTCATTATTTATAGTGACTAACAAGTCAGGAAATCAATATTTAGCAGCTAAAATATATTAAAAATAAAAATAATAATGACACTGAATTCTTTGTTAGTTGGAAACAACCTTTTAGCAAGTGAAGAATCTAAGATCTGCATATTGGCTTACCCGCTTTCAGTATATAAACTGATTTGAATATCTTCTATAAATACGAGAGTAGTCACTCAAAGTATCAAGCACAATAAGATAAATTAGAATTTTAAAAAAATCTAACAAAGTTACATTTTTTTTTAAATGACAGAAAATTTAAGAAGAGCTTTGAATTGTACATTTATAGATATTCATTGAACTAAACAAGATCTATAACAATGAGTAAATTACCCACTCTCAATAGTTTGTAAAATTAACATAAGTCCCAATTCTACAACAAGGACTTCATTATAACTATTGTGCAATGTTTGTTTGTAGAGAAAGTAATATATTGTCTCCCCTTGAATAAAGCTTCTGAGTTCTGAATGTTAAGATAAATGTATGAAAAATTAACCTGCCAAGAGAAAATCTTACATTAATTCAATTTTCATATACATCATTACTTATATCTATTTTAATTTTAAAATACCAGATTTTAGTAGATTATTCTCATACATTGGCCTTTGGAGAAGATGAATCCACAAGAGTCACATGATGGCTGCTGAGTGATGTCAGTTCGTAGAATGACAAAACCCTGGTTGCTATTTAGCACACATAGAGACAAGATGTGTCTGCCCATACCAGTTGCTATTTAGCACACATAGAGATAAGACCTGTATATCCATGTTAGCTGCTATGTTGACCATGAAGAAAATAGTGAAAGGAAGAACAGAGGAGCTCATGTGACACCATGAAGCACATAGAAAATACCACTGGATTGGACCATTTTCTCTTCAAGAAATATTACAAATACGATCCTTTTGCTCTCACCCTTTCATTACTGCTTGTTGTATTCATATATTACAATTTCTCTGTGTAGGACAAACTAGTGACTAGTATTTATATATTTAAATATAATTTCTTGTATGATATTGTTGTGGAGTGGTTTCACGTGGAGGCTTGTATTTGTATTAAGATGGTCCTAAAATAGGTTCGATGTACAAAACGTTAGGAACTTGATATAATAGGTATAATGCAGAGTAATCTAGTTGTGGTCGCTGATACTTCAGTACTTGACTAACTGTCGTCCGGCATCGATTGACTGAATGACTGCTCGTTACTCTTACTACTCCTACTTATTATAGGTGGGAGAGTCTATTAACTATAGAATAGGTGTGTTCCACTATAACAGATATAGTGCTATATAAAATCTCTTTGAGAATAATTCATGTTTGTCATTCCTTTCTTTTAGCTATTCTGTTCTGTTTGTGTGTGTATTAAAGTGTATTTATATCATGGATGTAATAATAGGCAAATGTGAAATGGGTTAAGGTTAGTTTTTGTCTAGCACCCCCATTAGTCTTATTAATGTCTCTGTTTCTTTTTAATGCTTCTTTTATTTAACCAATCTCATGTCAACTCTTCTGTTTTCTATTGATCTTTCTAATATCATATTTGATTCTGTCTTTATATTTTCTCTGTTGTTTTTCATTAGTTTTAATGTTTTCTTTCTATCATAACTTGTTATTGCATCATAGAGCATTTTTCGTTACTTTTATCTAAATAATAATTTGATCCTTGCATCTGCTCCTGTCTGAGTAATATTGGGTGTTTCCTTTGCATTCACTTCTTGCAGAACAGATCATTGCACATGCTTTTGTTATTTATAAAGCTTAGTATGAGATTTTTTTATTTGCCTACTTCCTGGTTGAAATAGTTGCATATTTCCCCATCTCTATGAAATGGCCCAAGTAAAAGCTACTATTTTAGATGCTGACTGTCTAGGGTCGGATTTATACCAAATACAAGTACAATTTAGATTAGTCATGCTGATAGGAAGTTTTTAAAATTTATATACTAGTTCAATTAAAAATTCTGCCAGTAATGTTTTTCTATAAATTTAATAAACATTCCAGTTCAGATAATAGTGCTGGAAAGTATGTCATATCAAAAAACAACATGTCAGATTATGAGTTCCATAATTCATTATGGTTGTAAGGACATCACATGTACTGCAACTATAGTAGCAATGATGTATCTAAGATAAGATTGACTGACAGAGCCTAACTCTCATCAGACTGGTTTTGAATTCAGGGTTTTCTTTCCCTTATACTGGTTTTCCACCTCAAGGTAATTGAGCTCAGTCTGCCATACTATTTAAGCTTTAGTTGAAAGAAAAGGTGTTCATACTTCTTCCAAGTGTATTAGTGTAAACCAGACAAATAACTGAACAGAAATTGTACTCAGCATATCAAATTAAATTTCTACACTGGTAACCACAACATTATCAGTGCCTCAGTCCCAAATAAGCTTGGAGGAAAATAATTTATTCATAACAGCACTTCTATTTGTTGCACAAGAGTAGGCCAACTCGATCCATGTGGAATATTGGCACAACAATCTCTCCTGTTTTGGTTCCTCATTTAATCATCTGCCATATTTAGCTAACTTTAGAAAATATCAAACTGGTTAATCCAGGAATTTCAATTTAGAATGAATATTTGTTAATAAGGTGGCCACAATAGTGAAAGATATCTGTTTAAAGTTCATAAAGTGAAAAAGACAAACAAAAAGTAAGTATTTAAGAAGTAAGTAAAACAAATATTACACTTACCTCACTCTTACTGAATGAGATTTTGCTACAAAGGAATATCCTTGTTTCCAAACACCACACAATTCCTTATCTGGCTTGATTCCATCTGCATTGGAATAGATCCGAATAACGGCTCTTGGGCAACCTGAAAACATCAGACATTAATTCTAAAATATATTCACACATTTTATAAGAATCAAGTTTAACTTTCAATTGTTTTTCATTATGTAAGATAAAAAATGAAAATGTTGTTTTATACACAAAATGATCAACATTTCTTATTCTTCTTTGCATAATAAAACATACAATAAAAATGATTTGAAATATATTGGTCACCTTATTAAAATAGGACAGACAAGAATATAATATGCCTGTTCATTTAACTGAAATTATAACTTGGTAAGAAAGCATTTTATTTGTCTAAAATTCTGTAATGAATATTTGGTATCATTCAATGATGTTTTTTCCCCTCAAAATGTTTTAGCAGAAAATAAATTACTGGTAAATTCATGATGGGATTCATTTGTTAATTTTATATATCTGCTGAGAGAAGACAAAGAGTTCTTCTTCTTCTATATGCCACATCCCTTCAGGACATTAGCCATCTTTTCTGCCCTTTGCAGCTCTTTTTTTGTTTTTTGCTATCTCTCCTAAATCCTGCCCTGCCACCCATTTGCATAAGCTCATTATGTAGGTTATCCAATTTTTTCTTCTGTTGCCCTTGACTTGAATATAACCTGTGAGTGTCAAATTTTCCAAACCTTCTTTCCTCATTATATACCCTAGAAATTTCAACTGTGTCCTTTTTGTTTCCATTTTCTCTAAAACTGTCACAGAAATAAAAAGAAAACCTTACACTGTTCATCTTATATGATATATATGCACACTTGAATGTACACCTGAACAAATAGCCTTATTCCTTTCATCATGGATAAGATATATTTATTTTTTGTTAATAACTGCATATTGCTTTCTTCAGACTAAATTCCTTGACCTCCCCACCCCACTAATCTTTTGACCAATGTTCATGCTGGCCTTCTTTGGATGTTTGCTGAGTTCTGGAATGTTGCTGAATATTATTCTAGGGACCATGCACATCCTCTCCTAAACATGTCCCATTTCATGTCTGTCAGACCATTCTTTCCCAATCTTTGAAATAAACTTGAGTCTATTCTTTGAGTTTTGGATGCACAACCATTCTCCCTGGGTTGTACACTACCTACTCTCTCAGGATTATTATACAAAGAGAACCAAAATATCATGAAAAATATAGACAATAAAAAACACATAAAATGCATAACATGTTTGAAATTGCAAAAAGGTTACTATTATAAACTTTTAAGGAAGGCAACCACCAGCTGAAACATGAAGAATAATGTAAACAAAGATACTTTTCTGAAATATTTATAGTCCTGGACATTTTCATGGTATATTTAGTAAATAATAAACACTGGACTATTAACTTTTATAACTGGAAAGCTAAACTTAAGGGCAAATATGTTTTGTTAAAATTGTAATTAATAGAAAGGGTCACTTAGAATTTCACTTGAAGGTGTTAGATCTATTTATATTAAGTCTTGCCAGCCAACTTTCTGTAAGTAAAAGTAGTGGTTGTTAAGCTTACATGTAATTAGCCTTTAATTATTATACATTTATTATGTAACATCTGAACTTTGGAGTTTATTTTAGTTACTATGCACATTGCTTGTCTTTAGATAAGCTCTGATGGGAAAGAATTGATAAACCAGATAAGCTGCATTTTTTGTTAATTGTATATTGTATTTTGATATTAACACATTATGATAATGTATTTTTTTAATCTATTTCACTTTTTTCTATTGTTGTTAATTGCTATTATGAAATATTGTACACCTCTTAAAATACCCCAATTAATAGTTATTTTTAATTCATTCTCCAATAAAACTCAGTTATTTAACATAGAAAGCATTTTTATAAAAATTGCCTTAAATAGTAAATATGAAATATTAAACATTTATATTGCTGCATAATTTTAAGGCATTGTTGATTGCCTGCAGTTCATACAATAAATGAAAACATGATTTTGAAGAATTATATAAAAATATGAATTTTTAAGCAATTTTTGAAAGGACTTTTTTAGGATCAAGTTGGTTGGACACTAATGCAACAATATTTTTTTAGATTCATTAAGGTCTTTCCTGGATTTACAAGAAAAATAATTAAGATCAATTAAAACATGTACAGAGATTTAAAGAAAAATGCTCATAAACTTTGAACAAAAAGGCTTTTATAATTAAAACATCGAAAGAATTAGAAACTTGCAAGAAGTGAATATGTTGATAAAACAAATATTCAACAGCAATAATCAGTAAAATGTCAGTCATAAAATGAATGCCAAAAAGAAAACCAATGTGAAAATAATTATCGGAAATTAATATCATATTTGTACATTTGTCTTGTATAATTTGTTACCTATTTTTCTTTAAAACTTTTAGATTTAAATCTTTCCTTTGATCCAACAAAATATTCTTTAAGAGCAACATTTTTTCTTAATTTAAGCTTCTTTCAACCTTTTATAAAGTGATTATAGATGGCTTTTCTGTTTTATCCTTCATGTTTGCTAACATCTAGAGTTCAAGTCAATAATTCCTACAAGAAACTGCTATTACTGCAGAGAAATGCCAAAATTACCAACAAGAAGTGACAATTTTAAATCATGTGGCCACCTTTTACACCATATTTGTACCTTTGGTGTTAAAGCCCAAATTACTATTTGTAAAGTCTGTTTATTTCAATTGGTAGGAAGTATATATGAATGCTGTATATCAGCTGAGCTAAATAATCACATGACCAAAAAATAAAATAATATTGATATTCCTGCAATGATTAACATATCTAAACAAATTTTACATCTTATTCAAGCCTGTTAATTATAAACATGCAAGTCAGACATTGTTCATTACCACATTACACCTTATACGCCATCTCTGTTCAGTTGGTGTTAAGCCAAAATTAACAGTCGTAAAGTCTGTTTATCTTAATTGATAGAGAGTATATATGAGCATAGTGTATCATCTTCTTCTATGTGCCATGTCTCTTCAGGACATTGGTGATGATAGTTCTCCACAACTTCCTGTAGTTCTTAATAAATTTTATCTTTTTGTTATCTCTCCTAAACTCTCTTTCACCATCTGTTTACTCAAACTTGTTAGGTAGTTTATGCTTTGTTTTCCTATGACCCTCGTACTTTCAATATGTCCTGTGAGTATCACATTTTCCAAGCCCACTTTTCTCATTATGTGTCCTAGATATTTTAACTCTTTTTGATGTTAACTATAAGTGTCATTTTGTTTCTGTTTTCTCTAAAACATCGTCATTGCTCACTTATTCAGTCCATGGTATTCTTAGCATCCTTCTGTAGAACCACATTTCTGTTGCTTTAAGGCTCTTCTTCATCTCTGAGGAGATTGTCCAACATTCACTGACATATAGGAGAACTGATATTACATAAGAGTTTAGTACTATTTTCATTATTTTTAATACAATATTTATGTTTTTTAATACATCATTTAACTTTTGAAAAACAGCTTCTGCTATCCCAATGCACTTTTGGATGTCAGTGCCACACTTTCCATCCTCTGTTAAAACACTTCCCAGATATCAATTGAGGCTAAATGATCACATGACCAAAAAGTAAAATATAGTTTGTTCCTGTAATGATTAACATACCTAAATGAATTTTATATCTAATTCAAACCTGTTCATAATAGTCATTGAGACATATACAATGCATCATTATGTTTTTTTTCTTTGTTTCATATAAGTAAAAATTGTCTGTTGTTTCATCTTTTTGATTATCTCATTTATTAGATCATGTCATGTGTGTGATCTCTTTAATGGGCTCTGCTCATTACTCATAACAAGTTTATTGCCTTTCTTTTATAACACAGTAAATATGATAATAGCAGACTGCTATACCAGTCTTGCATAAATAACTAAAGTTACAGAGACTTATCTTACTGAAAATAAGATTCCAAAATATTTTACAACAGATAATTTTATTCTCTCTTAATCTTCTTTTAACATTATAGTGAGAAACTACTCCTTGCTACCAATCCCATAGAAAGCCTTTCCTGCTTCTCATCAACATGGCTGATTCTAACCTCCAGGAGTGCAATGCTTTGCACCTTCTTAGACTAATGTTTTCAATTGACATGAAGTGGAATGGTTATATTGAATGAATTTTTAAGTCTAGGCTAGGATAGTTGGCTTACTGTGCCATGACATTTTTTTTTTCAACAGAATCCATCTAGCATATTTATATATCTACCAATTTTTTTTTTTAAGCATTTCACCCCAAGCAAGGTGGGAAGCCACTAGCATGCAAGGGGTTACAGAGAGAAAATATGAGTGATAGAGGAAAGGATGAAGAGAAGGATAGGGGATAGATCAAGGCATCTGGAGACGTCTATTGACATTACATTTGAATAGTTGGAAATTATAGCTATCAGGGAAACAGGAAAAAGGGAGGGAGTTCCACAGGCGAGAAGTGTGAGGCATGAAGCTATTGAAGTAGAAGAGATGGCTACATTTAAGTTTTGAGAGTAAAAGGGTGAGAGCAAGATGTCAGCCTAGTAGAACGCTTAAATTCATGAAGTCTGTACATATAATATTGCTGCCATATTTGGTCTGGTACTCCAACTATATATCTCAAGAAAGGTCTGTATTGTAACTGATCCTGACCTGGCCTCTTGACTTCAGTCACTTTCTCACAACGTCATTTGGCTTCCCTCTGTCTTTTCTACTAATATTTTCATGGTAATTGTTCTAACAAGTTTTTCTCTTTTGACTTTTTGTACTCCTAATCCCTGTTCTACTATCCATTTACATAAGATTTCTTGAAAAAAAAAATCTTTTCACTCCAAGCAAGGCAATAAAGCTACTAAGACTCAAGGAGCTACTGAGTATGAGAGAATGTGAGAAAAATACTATTAAGCAAAGAGGACAATAAAAGAACCAAAATTAAGAAGACAAGATAATAATTGACATTGTTTTTAAATTTTTAAAAATCAAAGTTGACTGAGAAGCAAAAGCAGTCAGAAGACAGTTCCATAACCTTGTCCTGGGTAAGACGTTAAACTACATCCAGCAGCAAGGCCTCTGATC